CCTTTTCTTCCTACCAGATTTTTGGCGTCTTTGTCTTTTGGATTGGGTGATGTTCTGTCAGAGTTCCGCAGGTGCTCTGGTTGGCTGAGTGGGTCCATAGATGTGAGTTTTGGTGTATTTGTGGGAGAGGGTGAGCTACAAGCGTCCTACTACTCTGCCATCTTGCTTCTCCTCTTCCAGTTTCTATATTCTTAAGCAGCATGTTATGCTGGCTTTGTATTCATCCTCCTCCCCCAGTGTTTATCTTCATATATAGTAGGAGGAGAATTGTAGATCATGACACTGGAATCATCGTGAAAGCAAGATTCATTTATTTTCATTATGTGCTAATTATGAAGACAACATCTTGAGAAGTACTTTGCTAAAAATGTTCAACACAGAATGAGAAAGTTTTTTTTTTCACCCTTAGCTTTGCTCATCAGTTACCCATTTCCTAAGCAAAACTGTATTAAATAGAATGTCCATCTAAATTAATAATTAGTTTAAAACTAAAGTCTCATGTAGTTGCCAGACTTCTAAAGGTTAATAAAAATGCTAGCTAACATTTATTTACTCCTCTGTGGTAATTGGTTAAACCACTTTTTCTCACTTGGTTTTTTTAGCACTTGTAACACGGGTGTTGTTTATTACCCCATTTTGAAGTTGAGGAAGCTAAGGAGCTTAGAGAGGTTAAGACTTACCCAAAGTCACTCAGCCTTTTAGGAGGTTGCATTAATTTCTGAACATAATCTTTCTGACTTTGGAGTGTTTACTTTTTTTCTTTTCTTAAATTTAAATAGACTTTATTTTTTAGAGTAGTTCTGGGCTCACATCAAAACTAAGTGGAAGGTACAGCGATCTCCCATATACCCTCAGACCCCATACATGCACAGCCCACCTCCCCTCTGCCCCTCACCAAAGTCTGTAGTTTATATTTGGGTTCACTCTTGGTGTTGTGTACCCTTTAGGTTTTAAACAATGTATTATGACATGTTATTTACCATTAGAGTATCATACAGAGCAGTTTCACTGCCCTAAAAATCCTTTGTTCTGCCTGTTTGTTACTTCTTGCCCCCAACCCTGGCAACCAGAGATCCTTTTACTGTCTTCATATTGTGCCTTTTACAGAATGTCACAGGGTTGGAATCATACTGGCTTCTTTCACTTAACAATGTGCATTTAAGTTTCTTTCATGTCTTTTCGTGAGTCCTTATGACTGCTGTCGTCTACTCCTATGGAAGAATGGGGCATGTCCATAGTTTATTTTCTTTTATTATTTTTTTAATTGAAGTATAGTATAGACATACTGTTTACAGTTTTAGGTAGCAAACATTTATGTGTATTCACTTTGTACCAAGTACTGTGTTGACCATTTTAAGTACATTAGTTCAGCTGATCATAAAAGCAGACTGATGCAGTTGATATTTTCCAGGTAAGGGGATAGAAATGCAAGTTTTGTAAGCTACCCAAGGTCACAAAGTTATAAGGTGGTAAAATTGGTAATTACACTTAGTCTTACTGTAGAACTTGAGTAATATATAACATATATAAATAATAAAATAGTATATATAATAACTACGATAGTATGCTGCCTCCTCCAAGGTGCTGAAACCCAAAATAGTGTATATGACGAAAGACATTTCAAAGGGTAATTTGTTTGAAACAGATTCTTAAGGAATGGGAAATCTTGGGGATGGGAAGTTGAGATATTTTCTTTTTGGAAATTCTCCCTTTTATCTTGATTAGGTGTGCTTTCCATCATATGTGAGAAGTTTATATTCTCATTTCCCACACACACTTTAATTTGTCTGGCTTAGTGAAAGGAATTAAGTCTTAGAGGTGATCCACACGTGAACGTGGTTTGTGCAGTTTCTTGCTGTGAAGTAGTATTTAGTGTTACTGTTTTGTGAGTTAAACTTCTCTGATTTTAGTGACCTGGAAAGGACACCAAGGGAATTGAATGGAGAATTGTTTAACCTATGAATTGATTAGGAAAAGTAGATTCAAATCATGAAGTAGGAAGGCAGGGATATTTCATTAGAATTATTTACCAATCTGTACGTAGGGTATCTTTACCTTAAAGTGTGTGTAAAAGTGTGCATAATGCAAGGATACTTATTAACAAATTAATATCCATCATATATATATATATATATAGGTGTTGGAGGGGCCTGAAGTGAATATTAAGAATGTGTAAATGGAGGTTCATTTCTGAGGGCAAGCTGTGAATTAATCTATGTTGTTTAAACTGTAACAAGCCCCGAAGGGAAACACATACAGTTCTGTCTTTCATTAACATCTATTATACTAATAATGCTTAGTGAACTCTCTGGCATCAGAAAGGTATTTTATGTTTAAGTAAAATGAATGTGACATTTAAACTTAATTTTAGGGGAAATGCTGTTGAAATTGGGAAGATTAAAAGAAGCCAGTGAAGTATTCAAAAACTTGATTGATCGGAATGCAGAAAATTGGTGTTACTATGAAGGCCTGGAAAAAGCTCTACAACTTAGTATGTAATAATATTTCTCATCTACCTTCTCTTAACTAGTATTTGAAGTATAATAAAATACAAAGTTGTGATAATATTTGAGTATGCATATTTCTGATATTAGCATTCATTTTTCCATTTAGGAAAATTATAGGTTAAACATGGGAGTGAAAATGAATTCAAATATTTATACTTAAGTGATAAATAGAGATAATTTTAGGTTTTTTGATCCATTAAAATGTTATCAATTTGGACTAACTAGAGTGGGAAGAAAATGGGCATTCCCTTTCTGAGTAATGTCATAATTATTAAATATTTTTAAAGAATTAGAGATCTGTTACTCTCAAGTTCTAAACACAAGAATTGGGCCACAGAAATTTTTCTAAGAGTATGTTTTATATAGCATCAGCACAGAGAGTATTCTTTTAATTTCAAACTAGGCTGATTTGTGTAAAACAAAATGTCTTGCATCATCTTTTTGAAAGTAAATAACCTTGACTCTTTTCAGAAATCTAGAATATTATTCCAGAATTTCCCTAATATTTTCATAATTAAATGTCTGTGGGGCAGTTGCTAAAATGTGGCCTAAATAATTATGAAGCTGATAACGAAATAACTGTGAAGCTTGAGAGTATTGGAAGCAGCAGAATTTTTAAATTTAGAAAGTATGGTAAATAGGTGGCTACTCATTCATTTACCATAGGATGAGCTACGTTTATATTTAAAATTTAATATCATAAGTTATTAAAAACTTTTTCCTTAAATAATTGTTCTCAAGAAAATGATGAAAAGCAAAATATTGATTAGATCAATACTTTTTTCTAAAAAAAAGGAAAGAAGTCATAGGTGTGAAGGTTGGAAATGTGAGATAACTATAATTTTTCTTTAAATTGCCAGTTACTGATATGTTTATAATACAGATATTTCAATGTTATAATATGTTCCATATGTCTGGATCCATGCTTACTATGAAATTATTGATTACAAAACTAATTACATTACTTTACTTTTTTAGGTTCCTTGGGACCTTTTCTCCCCCATGGTAAATTTTGGAGCTCCATCTTCTGACTTCAAGTAGGGCACTGAGATGGTTAGGTTTGTCATGATGTTAATTTAACAACATTTCTAAGACTTGTTTTATGTAGGGTAGCGGAGGAATTTTTTTATACTTACGGCTTGTCATTGTCTAAGATTAGGCATAAATATAAGAACTGCTTTTAAAAAATACGCAATAGCCTTCATATACATTTTAGTGTAGAAGTCTTTAATAGTTCCTGAGATCTCCAAATTGTTAATAGAATGTGAAAATTATTTCTCACATATCCCAGTTTTTAAAATTCAACTACATTGGAGCTCCAAACATTTTATTGGGGGAAGGAAGGAGTCTAAACAAAATCGGACTTCACTTTTTAAAGTGCCATGTTTATAATCTTTAATACTGAACACTATGCTTACTGTGAATATACCTTGATTGCTAGCACTAGGGGTTATTCTTAACAGTAATTATATTTTTCTGGTCTGAATTAAAATCCACTTAAAAGCTTATAGTTTAAAAACAGTTTTATTGCTTTTTCTTAAAATTCTGCTGTTGTCTCATGGCTTATATGAAATAATGCATGTAGTCTCTCTTAGTAAATTATGCAGGATATTATTTTAAAATAATAAATTAGACCCAGATTCTGCTCTGCAAATTGCTCTTGTAGCTTATATATAGATCTTCTTTGTAGTACTATAAGATTAGGTTAGTCTTGAGGGCGAAGATAGAATATTCTTTTAGAAATATATTTTGTATCATTATGTTTGGGAGAAATAATTGTCATTTCAAACAATCTGTACTGATGGGATCTTTATAACGGAGTTTCACTGAAGATTTTAAGTGTCAAAGCTACCTTACAAATTTAGTTCATCTTTTAAAATATCTCAGTCATGACCCTAAAACTGTTGCTTCTGTAAGCCTCATCAGTAGGCATTATAGACTTTTGTGGGAGTATATGTTAAGCTTCATTGATTTAGAGGATTTCTGTAAGATACGTTACAAAGGAACATTGATCACGAGTTGTGCATGCAGGGCTATAGGAGAAGTGCAGTGTATCCTGAGTCTGTGTGTCTGGTGTGTATATGATTTGAGTTGCATGTAGTAGAATCTGTTGTAATGAAGTTTAGATTTCTCTGAAGATTGGATCTAAAATGGTAATTTGCTGATTATATTATTTCACTGCCACAGTGATTTTAATGTCATTCTTAGAAAGATTGAGAGCAGCGTTAATATGGATAATGCGATTTTTATTTATAACATAATTATTAAAGTTTATTAGCATTTTGTCATAGATAAAAGTTTTGATACTTTGAATCTCACACATATTTACTGATAATAGGCACTTTAGAAGAGAGGCTTCAAATTTATGAAGAAATTAGTAAGCAGTACCCCAGAGCAATTTCACCTAGAAGATTACCTTTGAATCTTGTCCCAGGTAATACTAGGATATCTTTTGTAACACTAATAATTATTTGTTGAGATTACGCAACATCATTCACATTTTAAAACCTTGTTTCTGGAATAGAGTTTACATTTACACCAGTCTTGTGGGTGGGAGTGATCAGTTATTAACTTGTTATGCATTTATTGTTAAGATTATCTATGTTGGTTTAGCTTTATGTTGGTTTTAAGTATCAGAAGCTACCTATATAAAATTGTTTTTCTTATGTGACTTTAAAAAGTAAACACTATATTTAGAAGGTAAATTAAATTCCCTAGAATTGATGACAAATCACATGTGAGGTATTGAGTTAAGTGGTAGAAGTTTTGAAATTGTACATCTTTTTTTTAGAGCACAAATTCAAGGAGTTGTGAGCCCCTCATGCCCACCAGTGTTTAAGATAAGAATATCCCCAATCCCAAAGAGGACCCTCTCTTCTCAGAGTTGACTGTGTTCCTGAGATTTGTGTCTCATCATGCCATTGTTTTTGTAGAGCTCCATGTATTTTGTATCTGTAGAAACAAAACCAAAAACCCTGCTTTTGTGCTTTATGTAAATTGGGGCACTGTGCTATATATTCTGTGATTGGCTTTTATTGAACGGTAGTATACTCATGACCTTGATCTAAGTTGTAGCATGTAGCTGAACTCATTTACTTCTGAGCTTATAGGGGGTAAAGAGTATATTATTCAGCTAGCTTATGACTTTGTTAATGACTTCATGGAAAATTGTGTCTTTTTCTTAAAGTCATCTTTTATTTGAAAGTGCTATGGATTATGCATTATTTATTGGAACTGGCATGTCCTTTAATACCAGTCAGACCCTAGAAAGCTAATGTAACTTAAAAATCTCTATTCTTGGCCTGGAGTGAGGACAGGGAGCATATTTTCTATTGAATTCTCATTAATAATGGAAATATTTGTTTGAATAATTATGTTATTTTCTTTTTATCAAAAGATTCATAAAAATTGAAAGCTTTTTATTAGTTCACTGACTTTAAAAATATATGACATACCTCTTATAAATGTATTGAATTAGATAGTAGATACAAATTTATTTAAAAATAAATAGTGCCTTTCAGTTCTGTAGATTATAAATAATATTCTTCTGATCGTCTCTTTTTTGTTTTGGCCTTTGTGAAATAGAGCAGGTTTTCTAATACTTTCCAGGGAACATTAAGTCCAAGTGGATGTTCATAGGCTTGGTGGGGAGGGTGCTGGTATACTTAGATGTTCTCAGTCAAGCGACTTTGGGAAGCTTCTGCTTAAACACAGCAATCAGGTTTCTGTAGAACTTTTTAATATATGCGTTGTAAATTTCCAAGATGAGATATACTGTGCAGGAAGGGGTGTTTCCCTAGTAAAGTATCTTCTGGAATATGCTTAGACTCACATTTCTATATCTCCTTTTAAAAATAAAACAAAATAAAACCCAGCTTTTTGAAATAGAACTCACCATAAAATTCACTTTAAAAAAGTGTGCAGCTCAGCGTTTTAGCATGTTCATGGAGCTGTGCAGCCGTCATCACTGTCTGGTCTCAGAAAATTTCCATCACTCCAGAAAGAACACTCATACCCGTTAACAGACCCTGCCCCCCGACTGGGCAGCCACTGATCTCACTTTCTGTACCTATGGATTTGCCTATTCTGGACATTTTGTATAATTGAAATCATACTATAGGTGGTCTTTTCTGTCTGGCTGCTGCTGCTGCCTTTTTTTTTTAATGTCTCAAGTTATGTTTTGCGTTTCATAGTGCCAGTTGGGATATTAGTTTGGGGCTTCCATATGCATTCACATGCCTCTTAGGAAAAGAAAGAAAACTCATTTAACTTCAGGCTTGCAAATAAGACTTCTTTAGTTCCATCATGCCTTTATGGAACATGGGGCTTTAGATTTACACTGCTTAGATTTGTTTCCATAGTCAACAAAGTTTGCTGAAAACTCCCAGTGATGATAAGAGACACATTTTTACTAACCTATAGCCTGGAGCCAGTTGTTGATTTTAAAGTGTGATTTAGGTTGAAGTGGAATTTTCCTGGACCCTCCAGGACATCCTGTCTTTGAAATGCTAAGAGGATCTCTTGACAAGGGAGGTCTCAGCTGAGGGCTTCAGGGACAGCATCACTGTGAGGTTCTAACATGCATGAATTTACAAAGCTCTGGGGGACCATATATAGAATTATGCAACTGCTTAATTGAATCTCTACAACAGTTGAATACTTGATTAAGTTTTATTTGCCTGTTTAGAAATATTTTTATGCATAATAAGAAAAGCATCTCAGTATTATCAAAGGCAATAAGATCTTTTTCAAGAAATGTGATGCAACTTGAGAAAGCAAGTTTTGAAAAAGATTCTCCAGTATTTAGATTCAAAGGTTTATTACCTACAGGTTAGTAAATAAAGTAGAAGTTCTGGGGAGATTCTCCCACAGTCTAAAGTATTAGGTACTGTAAATATAATACTCCTGTTTTTTTTTTAGAGGGGGGAGGTAATTAGATTTATTTATTTGTTAATTTACTTAATGGAGGTACTGGGGATTGAACCCAGGACCTTATGCATGCTAAGCATGCGCTCTACCAATTGAGCTATACCCTGTCTTTTCAAAATAACTACTTTAATTTATCGTGATCTATTAGTCTCCACTGGCCAAGGAGAGAGAGGGAAGGAGATAGTTCAGAGTATTCAGTGTAGAATGCTAATCAAGTTTTGTTCCTATTTATCTTATTTTTGTTTCATTGGATTATTTCTGTTTATTTTTTTTACTGAGATGTAATTGACATATAACCCGTTAAGTTTAAGGTGTATAGTCTATTCTTTTGATACATATATATATTTCAGTATTATTACTGCTATAGTGTTAACTGACATCTCCATGAGGTCACATAATTATAATTTCTTTTTTGCACTGAGAACATGCACCCTTATATAAAATAAATTCCCCGTTTATCAGATTTTGTTGTTTATGTTCATTATTTTACCAGTGGTTTTGGGGACATCAGTTTTTATGTGAATCTGTGCTACATCTAATGGTGAATTAGCTTGGCATCTTTGTAGTCATTCAGCCTGTTTTATAAGCTGCACTGCTAAACAGGCACATAATGATTGATGGCTTTTTTTTTTCCCCTAAAGGAAAGATTATGAGGGTACTAAAGAATTGTTTAAAAATAACTAGGAAGAAGGGAGATAATATTTTTTTGTGAAGTGGTTTTTCTTATATGTAAAGAAAATAATTATGAGATGGGTAAATAGTAAGTAATTTGGGATTTAGTATGTGACGAGCAGTTGAGTGGCTGTGTAGGCTTCTGGTTTAGACAACACATTTATGCAAGTTCTAAATAAAAGGGTGTCTTTTTGGTATTTCTGTCCCCTGGCCACCAAGTTTGCTTCCCTAGACACAGCCATTGTTACCAGTAGATAGTGTATTCTTACAGAAATACCTTGTGCATATATAAGCAAATACATACGTGTGTGGGGTTTTGGGGTAGTTTTCCTTTTATCTCCCCCCTTTGCCCGGCACCGGGTTTTCCTTTTCACTTAACTCTGTGTCTAGAGTTCAGTCCTGTATCAGTATGTACGATTTCCCTCATTCTTTCTCTCAGCTACCTGCACAGTCTCACTAATAGTTTAGTTGGAGAGGAGGCTTTCAATATTGTGGATGCTTGAGAGCTGGGTATCGCCTTTTAAATCAGATCTGTAGTATGATCTAAATAGACTGAGAAAGTTGACCAAGAAGAGGAGTTCAAAGTAGCCTCTGACATGAAGACAAAATGCTAGGTTTCTCAGTGGTTGATAGCAAATATGGAAAACATTCTTAACTATAGAAACACAGCGGCTGTCAGATATCACGGCATACAGTGATAGACATTTATTGAGTGGTTATGGTGTGCCAGACACTCCGCTACCACTGTATACTTGTCATCCTGTGTGAGCCACACAAGTGTGTACCCTTGAGGCTGGTGTCATCCTCATCTTCCAATGAATGGCTAAGTGAGGTTTTCAGTTGACAACGCCATACACAAAGTAAGCAACATCTCTTACTGCCTACTACAATATTGTTAACTTCTGCTTTATTCTCAGAGGGAGTGCTGGAAAGATTTGATCTCTGAAACTACTTCTTTGTTGTCTTGGTATATACTTTGTTATATAACTTGTTGAAAATCACATATTATGAAGACAACACAGAATTTCACTCTGGACTGAGTATACATGATTACTTCCCTAACACTTAGAAATAGTTTCAGAGATCAGATCTTTCCAGCACTTCCTCTGATAAAAAGATTAAAGATCATCTGAAAACAGTCTTTATAGTAAATTGAGGTGATGAATGTTGAATCTATTTTTTATACTTGATAAATTTTTTTCTCCAAATTTTTATGACATCTATAATATATTGGGTATGCATATTTTACTTAGTGGTGTCAGTTACAACAAGTAAAAATAACCACTTGGGTTGTTATTTCGGTAAAATATTGTGATTCATACGGAAGCCTTAAGAAAGGTCATTTCAGTAGTTAACTTTAGGTTAAACCATTCATGACATATATGTATCTTTTTTTGAGTGGACAGATCCATGCCCTTACATGTTAACCCTTATTGTCGGAAGGTTAGAGCCTTTGTATTTAAAACGAATTTTTTTTCTCAGTTTCTTTCTGTTTTTAAAAAGTGACACCGATGTTTTTTGGTAAGAATTTAGCAATAATAGAATTATTTCCTTGATGTTACAAATAGGGTATTTATTTAATTCTGATGTTAGAATGCCCCAGGGCTCAGTCTGATGTCTTATGTATGTTACTTTGCATATTGCCCATCTTACCCACTAGAATGTTAATAAGTTCCATGAGGGCAGAATTTAAAAATTTTGTTTGTTTGTTTTAATTACATCTGTATCCCTGACCTGGAGCAATGCCTGGCACAAAGTAGATGCTAAGTAAGATGATTGTGGAATGAATGAATGATCACTAGTTGGTTCAGAAAACATTTGTAAATAATGTTTAGTGACATGATATTTTGGCTGCTACTTAAACATAGCGCTGGTTAACGGTAGAATCCCTTTCATAGTTTGCAGCGTGTCCTCAGTGAGATGTCTGCAGATGGCAGGATTGAGTCTCTGCTGTCAGTGAGATTAGGAAAGGTATTTCGATGGGGCCTATATTCAGAATGGATAGTAGGTTACTTTTGCTCAAAGATGCACAGTCCTTTTGTTTACCTGTCTTTTGAACTGTTCCTTGAAGATACTTTGTATCTAGATCTAGGGAAAGTATAATTGCCAACCGAGATACTTGGTTTTACAATTTTTGGTGGTAACAAACAAGAAGTAATGCTAACTGACTTTTTGTGTTTAATCAATGGATAGGGGAATAATTGTTTTGGAAGGTGTTTTATTTTTTATTTACAAGATAATTTTGAGAACTGTTTACATCATCAAAGTATAACAAAGTATGCTTTTGTTTCTAGGTGAAAAATTTAGAGAACTAATGGATAAGTTCCTGAGGGTTAACTTCAGTAAAGGCTGCCCACCCTTGTTTACCACTTTGAAATCCTTATATTACAATACGGAAAAGGTAAAATTTGCTCTTTATTCAGTTTTGCTGTAGTCTTTCTACTAACTTAATTATAGAAAGATTTCCATGTGAATAATACGCTGTGATTCAATAATTTTCTCTATTCTATTAGTGGTATACACCTTAGTTTAATAATAGATAAACTGAAGTTATGTGCATGTGCTTTAAGTAGTATCAGAGGAAGTGCCAGCCTATGAAATTTATTGAGTAAAGGCTTTATAAAAGCACCAACATGAGGGTTGTTGTTTTTAATGGATATGCTTTTCTAGCGGGGTTTTAAATTTGACATATTGTCACTAAAGGTCTATATTTAACTCTCTCATGATTATTATTTTACAGTATGATTATGGATTTTTAAATTTGTTACGTTTGCTTTTAAAGTTAGAGCATGGATAATTGTTAGTGCAACAGTCAAATGTCACTTGGTACCATTAGTTTTAACTAATAGGCTGCATTTTAATAAAGACAGTTTTATCTAGTTTTCTAATAAAGAGACTGTTTTTCTCCTTTTTAAAATCAGAAAATGGACTTGGTCTTAAATTAGAAAGATAATTAGAAAATTGAATTAATCGAAAATAAGCTCTACTTCTGTTCCCAAGCATTGCTTCTTATTTATTAAGGTCTAAAATCATGTGTTCTTTTGTGTAATCAGTTTTTGAGAGTTACTGGTGGATAAGGAAAAGATTTTGTAGAAATAACGAAGTAGTTTTAGTTAAACCTCTATCACTTTATTTAGCTTTGACCCATAATTAATTGTAAATTAGCAATAATTATGAATAACAAAATATTGAGAAAAGGTCAATGGGAGGTATAACTGGAACTTTCTTCCTTTGGCAGCAGGTTTTATAAACTGAAAGGGACAATTGATAATATCTAGAGGAGAGGGGCTTGAGGGTGGCTAACAGAACTTGAGAGCTCTGCTCCCATCGTGGCGCACTCAGTCTCCTCATTAATGGGACGGATTCCCACTTCTAGAAAGATACCCATCGCACTTGACTATTAAAAAGTGCCGTTTACATTAGTTCTTTAATGTCTGTAGTGTGCTTTACTTGACTGCAGTGGTGTTGCTACTGATTTTTGTTCTGCCATTGATTTTTTGATAAATAGTGATTGATTCTTATGAAAAGATGTAGCAGCCCCTACTGACAGTTTCTGTAGGTCGTTTAAATTAGCATTTGCCAGAAGTCTTCTCTTTTTTTTGGCAAGGGTGACAGAAGAGAAGGATGAGGTGAAATGTCAGAAATTAGAAAGAACTTCTCTATGTGAATTAAAGTAGAGTCCTGCTTTTGTAACATGCCTACAGCAGCTACTGAATACAGTGGTCACCAAAGAATTTGTTCTTAAGCTGTCACTGAACTTGACTTTCTCAGTTTTCATAAGGGGCATAGACTTAAAAAAAACCCCTCCAATATTGATTCCAAATTACGATCGTAAAGGTGTTAAGCATTTGTTGGTGTTTTATAAAGGCTGGAAATTGCATTTTTAGACAAGGCATTGAGAATGCATTAATTTAAATAGGAATCTTTGACATCTCTTTAGTGTTAATTTTTAAGTACACAACAGGAACACATACCATGTGCTTTTGAGAAGTGAATTAAACTGCAGAAAATGAAGTTGTCAGAATTTAGTTTAGTGAGGAAAAAAAGTACAAGTATGGGAAATGCTTCTCAAATCATTTTGGCGACATATATATGTGATTACTCATAAGGGCATTAAAAATTTGCATATTTCTAACTAGCAGTGTTTTTAGCTAAGGCTGCATTTTTAACTCCTGAATGATTTCAAAGGTTAAGGCTGATAAAAAATTACGGTTTTGTAACCTTCCAACTCTTAGAGAATAATCCACGTCAGGTTTCCTTTCTATGTTAGCTTAGGATACAGTACAGCTGTAAAAAGGTATTTAAAAAATGTCTCCAGCATTTTAAATTGTGAATATAGAATTTAAAAGCATTAAGAGCACTTTCCATGTAATTCCTTTCAAGATTTTTTTCTCCCATGAATTTGTTTGTGGTATGTATATGTAGCTGAAGTAATTTTGACAGTAAAATTTTGTTTTTCCTATCCCCTCTAGCGGTTTCACAGGCATTTAATGTGTTATTATGTAGTCTTCAATGTCTTCTTTTTAATGACAGCATAGTCTTTTATCAGTATCATACCTCCAATTATTGAATTATGGTTTTCAAAGTTTTTGCTGTTAAAAAAATACATGTTTGTACACATGTGTGTACATGTTTTCATTTCTTTTGGGGTATATGTACCCAGGAGTGGAATTGCTAGGTCAAATGGTAACTTGATGTTTAAACTTTTTAAAAGCTACTGGACCCTTTTCCAAAGTGCCTCTACCATTTTACATTCCCACAAGCAGTGTAGAAGGATTCTGATTTCTACACATCCTCACCAACAATCCACTTGTTATATAATACTTGATAATAGCCATCCTAGTGGGTGTGAAGTGGTATCTCCTTGTGGTTTTGGTTTGCATTTTCCTGATGACTGCTGATTTGAGCAGGTTTTTAAGTTGTTCTTGGCTATTTGTATATCTTCTCTGGAGAAATGTCAGTACAGATTCTTTGCCCAGTTTTTAATTGGGTTATTTATCTTTTAATTATTGAGTTGTAAGTTTTAAGTATATTCTAGATACAGGTTTCTTAGATTTATAATTTGAAAATATTTTCTACCATTCTGTGGATTATCTTTTCACTTTCTTGAAAGTGTCTTGATGCACAAATTTTTAAAATTTTGATGAAGCCCATTTTATCTTTTTTATTGCTTGTGTTTCTGTGTCATATATAAGAAACCACTTCCAAACTCAGGGAAATATGATACAGGGGAAAGAGCGTTGCTTTGGAGTCAGGCCTGGTTTTGTATCCTGACTCCACCACTTATTTGCTTGAGCAACTACCCAAATCTGTTTCTGAATGATAAAGTTGGGGAAAATAATACTTAAAGAGTTAGTGTGTGCTTTAATTAAATGGTAAGTTCTGTAAAGTACTTAGTTCAGAGAATATTTTTAAGAACTGGTCATTCTCACCACCCTCACCCATCACACCTCATCTTTGCAAGAAATTGCTTATTTTCATTTTAGTGTCAGAGTTCTTGGACAACTTATCTATCTGACTAACTCCTTTGAAATGAAAATTGTCACTGTGCATTTATTGGAAGTTAATCCAACAATTTTGGTCCTTGTTGGTAAACTATTGTGCTTAGTTTTGGGTAGGAAAAAAAACAAAGACAATTCTGGTGACTTTTGTGTCACAGTAACATTTTAAGCACATGATTTGTATTTGTATTGTGAAAAATTATGTATCAGATACCATTTGTAGGACTTTCTCTTTAAGGTTAGTAAAGAATTCTTTTAACTCATACATAAAAGCTGGTCAAGGGCAATAATTTAGGAAATATCTACAATGGTCACATTTGTTAGCAAAAATAAAGCTTTTTCATTTCTGATCACATAGAGCTGTTAGAAGATACTTAAATCAAGAGAAGGTGGTTGAACTTGGAAATTTTTTCTGTTCATAAAAAATGTTGGCTGTATGATTTAAGCTGTCCATTTTGAGGCTTAAAGTTTTATTGTGATCTTAGATACCTAACTTAAGGGATTGGCTTTCTTGATTTTAAACGATAGTGGCAAATACTATTTTCAAGAAGAATGTAATTTTGTATTAAGTTTTATAAGAAAGGAGTTGAATATATAACAATATAGAATTACATTGTGTAATTGAAAATAGTTATACAGTATGCAATTATATAATTGAACATACAATTATACAATATAATTGAAATATAAATGGCAAGTAAACTTGAAGTAAAATAGGCCCTTTATTCCTCAGTATAACTCCTTAGACTAATTTTCATAGACAAATTTGGAGAAATGAATTGTTCATTTAATTGCTGAGTTAGTGACTATAATACACATTTTTTAGATTCATTAAATATGCCTAATGAGCCAGGAAGGACTGTGTTCTTTGCAGTTTTTTAATTTAGGACACTTCACGTGAACTTTCCATTACCTTGATTTATTTCCTCAATTAAATCTTGTTTTGAAGTTCTGAAGCTGGAGATCCATTATTTAGCATTATTTGTACTCCTTTATGAAGAACTATTTGTAGCTTCAGTATATGTTTTGTTGTACTTTTGAAAATTACTAAAACTGATTAAAAATTTTTTTTCATTCTGAAGTTTTATGTATATATATATTTTATTGAAGTATAGTCAGTTTACAATGTTGTGTCAGTTTCTCGTGTACAGCACGATGCTTCAGTCATATAAGAACATACATATGTTTGTTTTCATATTTTTCACCCTAAGTTGCAAGATAGTGAATATAGTTCCCTGTGCTGTACAGTATAAACTTGTCTATTTTGTATATATTAGTGTCTGCAAATCTTGAACTCCCAATTTACCCCCCCTAGTAATCATAAATTTGTTTTCTATGTCTGTGAGTCTGTTTAAAACTGAATTTTAAAAATAAGTTTCACCCTAGAAATGCAAAGATACACCCTTATTTAAAAATCTGCTTTAGCTGCAGTTTTAGCAACTGCCAGTAGATGGCAATGTAAGTTCATGAAAAACAATTTGCCTCCATAAATTGAACAGCTTGAGCACTGAATTTCTAAGCCTGGAAAGTTTTTAAAGTTACAGATATTCTAAGTGAGGTTGATGGGGTGTTATTGGTCATCGTGGGTTAAAAATGTTGATTATTTTTTATTTTACTTTATAAAAGTAGTCTTATTGCAACATTTTTCAATCAGTTCTCAAACTCTAGGGTATATCAGAATTAACTAGAGGGCTTGCTAAAAAACAGATTGCTGGACCCAGAGTTTCTGATTCTGTAAATTTGGGGTTTGGTCAAAAATTTGCCTCTCTAACATCACCAGAAAATATTGCTGCTAACATTGATGATATTAATAGTCTGAGGATTACAATTTTCAAACCACTGTTGTGGTTTTTTTGTTGTTGTTGTTGTGACAAAATACAGTTACCACAAAATTTACTGA